CACACACAGATGTATTATATCACCATATTTCATTACATATATCACAAAATATCTATTATGTCACATATTTCATTCATTATATTACACAAATATTTATTATACAACACATTTCATTCATTATATCACAAAATATCTATTATGTCACATATTTCATTCATTATATTACACAATAGATATTATATCACAAAAATATCTATTATGTCACATGTTTCATTCATTATATCTCCCAAATATCTATTATATCACCCAAATATCCATTATATTACACATTTGATTCATTATATCATCCAAATATTCATTATACTACAAATATCATTCATTATATCACACATTTCATTCATTATATCACACAAATATCCATTATGTTACAGATTTATGTAACATATCATTTCTTATATAAAAATTAACTATATTTTAGTCAACTAAAATCTGCACAAATAATATTTTGTGATAGGACATAAAGCGTATAAGAACTCGTGAGCTTTGGAATAACTTTTAAAATGAAGCTGGTTTAATATAATAGGAATAAACCACTGCTGTAGTTGGGTATACCATGAGATATTTCACAATTCACAACATCCGTAAACCACAGTAAGATGTGAATTCTGCTATATCTTGTGGTATACCTGACTGATTATAGCACACAAATCATTATTACAGTAAATTGAAGAACTCTGCACAACTTGGTTTTATCTATGCTTGTTAGGTAGAAAAAATAATATGTTGTTTGATCTCACCCATAATTATTTCCTCTCCAAAAAATCATAAACTTTCTTTAAGAAAAAATAAAAAAACAGGAAAGCATGCAAAATCAAAAATCTATAAATAGAAATCATGCAAGGGCTAACGATATAACTCAACGTGATGTGCATGACAATAGTGACCAGACTGCATGGCATGTACACATACAATTCAGTGTAACCTACCACATTTTAAGCTGCATACTAATGGAACCATACAGTTTTGTTTGTTTGGTCTTATCACAAGCTTATCGTTATCCATGGATAACTCTTGTCTTTATGCAAATTTAAGTAAAGATTAGAATGAATTCCACTGTATAAGCAGAATAACCTTTTCTACAAAATGTACGGTACTGCAATTATATGGGCTAAGCTGCCAATCTCAGGCAGTCTACTTATAACGTGTTATAGAGAATTCCAAAAAAAAAATCTGTGCATCTATTTTTATACTATTCTTTAATAAGTACTATAACTACGGGATCAGCTATATAGAACAAAGTAATCAATAAATTGTGATAGATTTTAGTTTTAAATTTTGGTATAGATTCAATGAACAAAGAAAAATATTCACTGGGTTTTATTTTAGCGGGTTTGATGTACTAAAGAAAAATGGTTTATGAAGGAAACTATACATTTTATTATTAGGTTTGCACATTAACATTTAATTTAAAATAAAAAAAACAAACTATGCCAATTGTTAAGCACTATACAGTACTGCAAACAGACCTCAGTTACATCTTCATTGCTATCAATTTTTATCGTGAAATTAAGATGGTTCACAGTATATAGGACACAGGTGCATCTCTTGGTAATGTGAAAAATATGGTCATCACAAACCAAATTATACAATCCTACTCAAAGATATCAATCTGAGATACCATCATAGTCCAGTCCTACATTTTATAATTTGTCATATCTATCAATCTAGGTTTTAATTTGTATTGTTTAAAAATATGTCACTCAATTTAGGTAGATATCCTTTCTGTACAGAAAGCAAGTTTCATATTTAAAATGTTTCATATGTATTGATTTTAATTTCAACAATACAAAAGAAATGAATAAAAATAATTGTACATGAATTAAACTTCAGGTAAAAATAGTTTTAAATATTTCTAATATAAAAAAATATATGTGATTCTGATTATAGGCCAATAGCTGAAAATGTGTATGTCACATGATTTTGACAGAATTTAGAAAAAACAACAGGAAATTTCATGGAAGATCAAAATGATGCCATGTTTTATGATAATTTTAAAATAAATACATGTATACTCCATCAGCAGCAGCAGATCCATGTTTTGAAACTAAATCCTCAAAATTTTTCCAATTTTTTCCAAAATTGTTGAAAAAGAAAAATATCTAGTAGAAAGTTATGCTCATCTGATCATAAATTACAAAAGAATTTTAGAAAAATTTATAAAAATATTCAAAATTGTACTATAATTTTAGTGCAGAAAATGATTGCATCAAAGGGTTTAGACAGGAAATATACATGTAGATTGGACTTCTGCAACATTATGAATTATTAAAGATGTTAAAACCAGATTTCTAATCTTGGGCAGTAAGCATACGTCATATCCCAAAGCACAATACATAAAAACTAAATAAAGTATGTTTTAATGTTTTGTTTTTTCCATAATTTTCCATAGTTGCTTTGTTAGTTTTGGTTTGAATAGGCACAATCCATCTTATAATGGTCTTGTTCAAAATCTTTGGAAATAATTGTGAAAATTTACTCGTCTTTTGTAAAAGTCGACATCATTACTTTCACATTTTGTATTTCTTTTCATCATATTTATCTTTTCTAGTGTTAGTGTTAGTAAAATAAACAAATACTGTTATACATGTTCATACTTAAACCTTTAGTTCCCTGTGGCCAGTGTAAACAACACTCATGTTTTATCAGTCTCTGCCAATGTGCACTCTGTGATTTGATTATTTTCTGGAAATCTGTCAAAAATGATCATCCATCTTGCTTTTGAAAACTTTTGCCAAATACGATAATTTGACTAAAATATGTTTTAGCTCGGGACAATTGTAAAGATCACAACAAGACTAAGTTGTAAAACTAAAAAAGCATCACTATTTTTTTACATTTCCCAGAATTCCTACAACTACATGTTTGCTTTCAAATTAATATTCAAGGTCCTGGTAGGTTAATAATAATAACATCGAGTGAATAGGTTAATAATTCCTATTATCTTATCACTTTCAATGGACCTCAGTTTTTTTAATTTGTGTTAAATAATATATTATTTACAATTTCGTTTTAAACAATTAAAATAAACAGTACACCATTTTAATTTCATAATGAATAAATTTTAGTGAAATTTTGGAAAAATCAGGAAATTGTGTTAGTAGTGTATGTTGAAAAACCATGAAAAAGTGACTTTTTCTTCCCGATGTCGTCAAATATTAAGCTGTGGAAATATAACTATTAACAATACACAGTAATAATCATTAATTGTATTTTAATTTCACTATTTTGTTCATATTCCCTTTTAATTTTTACCGGGTAATTAAATTCATAAATTTTCTGGTAAACTATTGAGTTATATCATAATTTTTACATATATGTGGATTTAATTTAGCAGATTTCGACTATCAGTAAAATCAGCGAAATTACAAATGCATTTACAGTATTCAAATAACAAGGAAAACCATTACCAGAAAATTATTCATATAATTTGCATATTTTAGACATTTGCATAGTAGTCACATTAACTATGAAAAATGCTAATTAGTAAACTAAAATATCAAATCTGATAGACAGTGTGGGAAATTTGAGATTTATTTTACAGTAATATGCTTTTAATTTATGATGCCCCTGACAATTGATTGCAATATCACACAAGAATAATAAAGACGAAGGTTAAACATGCAAATCTTAATCCAGCTTAACCCAATCCACCAGACCAGTTTTTTTATTTACGATAATAATTCATTTGTGACAAAATATTATATTAAGTGTAGATTGTACATGTCATTATGATTTTTATTTACTCATTTTCTGATATAATTTCAAATTTCAGTTCCATATGTATCCCTTGATTTGTATCACATTACCACTTCCATTTTTTTTTACTAACAAAAACAGAGATCATGGTCACTGCCGCGCGTACGTCACCACATCATTGTCAAAATATTAAATCATTTTTATATTACGGTGTCCGTAAAGTAACAATAATTGGAAATTCGATTTCTGATCATTTTGCATGCAAATAGCGATCAACGATCTTTACAATCATAAATAAAAATCTGCTTCCGCGAGCTCAGCTGTGATTCAATGCATTCACTCGGAAAGGAACACATAGAGCAAAAAGATGCACTGGCTACTTACCGTGTAAACGCGAAGTACAACGCTGTAAGTACGGCAATTGATAGAAGAGTAATCGTGTGCGGTTTATAGCAAAATTCTAATGTTATATCATTCACCTGCTGCTCATTTATCAGAGAAAAATGATCACTGAGTTCCGAGGCCGTTCTCTTATGTCCCTTCCTGGCCATTTTCCCTTTCTGTTTCATTTGAACCGGTTCAGAATAAGAGCGCCCCTGGATGATTGTAAAAATACCTAATTCCATGAGCTCCATCCCATTTTCAAATTCTGCATTCCAAATTTTATTTTTGAGTATCAAACTTCACAGCTACCATTTTCTTATGACTCGAGTGCATATTTGCTCATTTGCAGGATGTTTTAATTCGTTAATTGATCACCGGCTAAACAATCGTACCATATTGATAAAAATGGCTGCGTTGAGGGGACTGTAAATATGGCGATCTCCAGGTGAGTCATGCTGCGATTTTTTCGTCGGCGTATGCTCTGATGTTTAGCAGAACATCGGACGATGTAAAACGATACCACTCACATAAAGAAGCAAAGAAAGTGAGTGTAGTCATGCATGGGAAAACTAAAACACTCAACTCATCAGATCAGTGTCAACTTCACAACGGTTCTACTACTAGTATTTACTGTCCGGGGTGGAATATGACTGTCCGGGGCCAAAATACTTAGTTGTTGACAGTTTTACAACGATATCTATTCACAAGGCTAAGTTGACCCGGGTCGATGCGAATAAGCAGCGTGTGTGATTTGGGTTTTCACGTTGTGTTACACCTTGAGGCCGTGAATTGCAAATATTCCTTCGACAGACTACATCCGCAAGCATACTAGTTACAGCGGGCGCAAGATATTTACATATCTAATTTACACCTAACTCATGCACCTGGTAGGCAATCCCCAGACACTTTCCTAGCCGACCTACGAATAGATTGAATACGAGCCTGAGGGTCACATTTGTACAAATAGTACCGGTATATATGGATGGTTTAATATGGAAAGGTGTCATATTCTTGATATAATATTTTTTTTCACATACCCATCCGTATACGTCAAATTAGTAAAGTCTCCAGGGAGTATGTGTTAGTTAACAAAAATTCGACACCTGAATGATGGATTTGAATCCAGGAAGACACAACAACGTAGATATATCCAACAGAAAATGTCTCATTTGTAAAATTAATGAAGTAGAAGATGAAATACACTTTCTTCTAAACTGTAAATTATACATAAATGAAAGAA